ACTCGAACCGCCAGTACGCACACCCATGAAAACCCACATACGGGCAGATGCACGCACTTGCGCAGTAAATGTACCTTCAAATGTTCTGTTCCACATTCTCTTGGTGATCTCTGCACCGTCCGTCACGTTGAAACCGTCCTCAAGCGTCTGGTTTAGTGCAAGGGCATACAGAATGACAGCGTCATGGAAAGCACCGACAAAGCTGTTCACCTAGAACACGAACGCCACAGAAGCATTTAAAACGTTTCCAATTAAAATCCGTCATGTTCATCTGTTTTCGTTATAATACTTCATAATAATACATATAAACGAACTTTAGGACGTGTTTAACCACAGTTATTTGTTTTGCATATGTGTTTAAGCCATTCATTAACAAAGTTTTTCGACCGTCTGAAAACTTGGGATTTGGATCAAAACAAGGCATCAAAGCTTTCAAATAGACAGACGCAGGTTATGTGTTCAGATGCATGTAAAAAGTCCGTGACAGCTGTAATAAAATGAAAATAAATATCTGAGCTTTTAAATGTATATGATAGAATTTTAGTTTATCATGTTCATTGAAAAGTCTAAATGTAACAGATGGGCGGATGGAGAAAAAGATCGTGATATAGCGATAATTAATCTAGGTTAGGATTTTTAGCTTTGAGTAATTCAAAGCTGTACCTTATTTCGACAGAAATGTATTAGAGGTCATGAATTCGATGTGATTTGTCACATATGAGTTACACATTGTACTACAGTATATAGATTTCTAATCAGTAACTTTCATACAGATTTTTTTACCAAGCTCATACTGATAACGGCCCTCATTTAAAAGAGGTCACCCAGTCAGGTCGACAAGACGTAATTACGACAACCTTCACCTTAACTAATAACAGCCATCTGCTCTTAAATAGATTCAGGTCAAATAACATTTTAATGCCCCAAAGAATAGTGGCTATCAATCCTTGTCGTACGGACATTAACAAAAGAAATTCATACAAGCGCTCATTTAGTGCTCATTTAGTGACGTCATTATCGAATAAGACGCTGTTAAACTACCATGCCATAGAACAAAACTGAGAATCAATCGCAGAACAAACGAGCATCGTTCATCAACCGTGGCGCGGCATCGATTCAAAGGCAGACGACCAAGAGTGCTAATAGTCTTTTTCCCGCCGTCGACACCATTCATAACAATCGCGGGTCACGTACGATCAGCAGCTGAGGGCATGGATGAATTAATCAATAGAAAAGCGCGGGAATTAATGGCACTTGTTTATTACTCGGACAGATCGGGCTAGTAATAAACGTGCGTGATTGACGACAAACGCAGGAAGTCCCTGCGATCTCGTTTTTTTTTTATGAGTCTTGAGTGGTGTCTCTACAAGGAAAGATATTGAGATATTGTTTGATCTTCGCCTACGCAAATGGTGCGTTAAACGGAAGATTAGATTACCTAGAAATCGTGGCGATTTGCATCTTTAGCCAGCCGTAACGGGGATCAAATGTTCCAAAAGAGAAATTTAATCGATCCCTTAAAGTTCATGAAGGATTGTGCAAAACAGATAATCCTTTCTGAGAAAATAACAAAATTCGTTTATACGTAACTGGTTGCTCCAAACATTTGGTCCCGTCATTCATGTAGTACTTTCTTCAATCAGACAGATCACCATTTTGATTAAATGGTCAATTGGTTAAACGAAAATTCCAAAAACTCTTTTTTCGTTTGGCATAAATAAAACCCCTTATTAACTGGCCAACTTTTAATCAATTTATATATTGAGTTTGTCATTGATGCGTTAATAAATAACGTACTACGCGGGATGGAGGAAATATTGTATGCATTTTATGGTGAAAGGTTCAACGTACAGCTGTACTTTCCTGTGCTTCTTATACGTAAGATCCCAAAGGGATCTAATATCAAATCAAACAATGTTCTTGAAACGAGCAAATTAATTCTTGAGACATAACATCAAATATTTTTTTTCTATGATAGCACTTGAATTATTTCAAAAGAAAGAAAGTGCAACAAGTGGAAGGTCTACAAGGAAGTCATTTTGGACTGTGAAGCTTCAGGTCGCTTAGATAAATCGGGGTGGAGTGTGTGAAACACGTCTTATTTACCTACTGTAGAAAAATCCTTACAAATATGCAATGCATTTATATATAGTAAGAAAACATTATTTGACAGACTATTTAAGCTTATAAGAGGTAGACATAAATTATTATTATTATTATTATTATTATTATTATTATTATTATTATTATTACAGCTTATGGTTAAACATGTATCTGCAAGCGTTCTTGAAGTGTAAAATGAAACACCATTAACTATGTGAGATGATAAATAGACGAAAACTGCTATAACTACACTGTATAACATATAACAATTAATAAAATATAAAAAGAGTGAAATCAGTTTACAATGAGATCATGCATTCTAAAAGGATTAAGCCGTCTTAATATATATAAACACCTACCTCTTCTTCGCCGTAAGTAAAATTCTTGTATTCATCCTCTGCTCGTCTTTTGACTTCCTCTGAGAAGTTTCTGTACGCTTCACTCTCAGGTTTTCTCAGGGTGATTGTCATGAGAGCCTCGTAAGCCTTGCGGGCGCGCTGATTTTCGGCATCCGTGTCGCTGGCATTATACCAGGGGCGGGCACTTTGGTTTTTGCTATAAAAAATCATACATTTTCGTTTAAAGATTTGTTTTAAATTGGTAGAATGTTTACGTTCAATAGAAAACTTAATAAGCTCTTAACTAAAAACTGAAAAAAAAAATCGAGGTTTAGTTGTTTGCGCGTTTGTATATATGTTATTAGAACACAATCAATTGTGACTGCACACTACGGGCTATTGCAAATGCATATTTGCTATATATACATGTATCTGCAACAGTCAGTTTTTGGTATTGCACATGGCACTAACCATTTAATTCTTGTCTTGCATTTCTTGGGGATATTGATGCTTTCTTCATTCTTATTATCTTTATCTTGTCTGAAAATTCGGCAGCCATTACAGCCCACCGGCTAAATGGAGGTCATATGCGACCATTTTTCTTACAAGGTTTAATTAAGATGCAAGGTACTGGCGTCCCTTGAAACAATGTACCCCAGTAGGCATGCTATTTATGTCGGTGATGGCCATTTCATCCCACGCTTGAATTAGATTATCAAGTCACCATTGATTTTATCATTAATCGAGACAATCACACAAATCATACACAATATGGACGGCAAGGATTAGGCCACTAATATTCATATCAATATAATTCCAGTTATCGATGATGACACTACTTTTTAAAGCAATGTGCATCATAAAGCAAGAGCTGCGAAAGTGCGAAATCAATTACAATGACTGTTTACGGGATATTTTGTAAAAGGAAAAGAACATGAAAGAAAGGAAAAAAAATGGCGGGGACATTAAAAAAACAGCAGGTTTGGCCACCCATCACTGTATTGATTGCAAAACTTGAATGCACCCCACTAATAAGTGCACTGTGGTATGACCACACGGGGGTGGGGGGGGGGGGGAAGCAACCATTTTAGAACTCGAAAGAGTCATAAGTCGCCTATGGAAAGTATGGCAGGGTATTCCAAAATGGAGATTAAAGCAATAATAACTCTTCCTTTGAGATTCAAAATTCCGCATGAAATACATTGTAAACAACGCATGGAAATATATTCTATTGTATTTTACCACTAAAACGGCCGTTATTGCAGTAAAACTAAAATCTGTACTTGTCAATCGGGCTTTCGATGCTTTCATCAAGGCATTCGTTGCTAATGACGTAATGGTGTCACGCGGATTCTCGCGTTCATTCGAGACCAAAATAACATATGGCACCAAACGCATTAATACAGACGCAGACGTAAGTTGCGAGTTTTTGTACAGTGCGTCGGATAACGAAAAGCCCAGAATGGCACACATTGTGGATATTAATGTATTTTTAACAAAAAGACGAATAATCTCATGAATCTTATATAGTGTTGTTGTTGTCTGCTTTTCCCGCGGTTTTAAGTAGGTCAACAGTGACTATGCGATGTCAGAGAGAGCTCCGTCAGTTAAAATCTCTTAAGAGATTTTAACAAAAAACCGTACGTTTAGGAAAAAAACCCTGGATTAACTTTGAATGCAGGAATGGGGTCGCTGACCATTGGTAAGTACGGGAAAATTGCCATTTTTTCCAGAAAAATCGTATTTTTGGCCAAAACGAAGAGTTATTATGACTTTAAATACAATGACGACTCTGTGCAGTGTACATGTAGCTGTAGAGACTGGGTTCCTATCCCTAGATCGATCTAACGGGGTTTCTCGCTTAGTGGCTTACATGTCTGGCACGCCTGCTAAAGCTGCTAAACGATACTTAAATACCACCTATCTAAGCCGCTTAAGTTAATTGCAATTAACCCATAATCCCCTTGGAGATAGTTCGATCCAAAGTTAGTACTATAGCCTCTGGGCAAGGTCTCTAAGGTAATAAAATTAATGCCGTCACGAACTGATGCACGGAGGGAACGAGTATTTGAATGCCAGAACTTTGAAGTATTTATTATTTGGGGGTGGGGGGGGGGGCAGGGAGCCTGTGTCCAATACATGTATAAATGTGCAGAGCACGTCTCTATAACTTCAGTTTGCTTGGTCAATTCTCAAAAGTTAAGATAAGTAATGACTGATGATGTACAAAGAGAACGTCTTGCTGAGCTGCTTCTCTTGTCTCTAGAGTTCATATTATTTTAGATTGATATTTTACTCCCAGTGAGGGTCCGTTAATTGCTTTACTACGGACAGCTGATCGAAGAGCCGGACCTAAAAAATGTCACAATATTCTATCCGAATCTCTCAATCATATACCATTATAGGGTAAATGTACAGTAACAAGAAACGCGTTTATTCGTAGGTCGATTTTTGTCTGTAGTTTAACACAGCTGTAAGGCAATCAGATGAAAGACAATAATCATAACAATATATCTCCTATACCTCATTTCTACTTTCATGCAGACAAAATCGACTTTAAATGATAGGGCCCTAGAACAAAGCATGTTAATCTAGCTCTCCTCGATATAAGAAATCTCGAGTTTATTGTTTTTGCCTTCTTTAGCTAACAAATGAGCGGAAATAGCCAATCGAGATGAATTCTTAACCGATTGTATAATCAATCGAGTAGATTTATTGAATGAAATTCGACTGCCGTAAATGCGTCGTTTTTGTATATCTAAGGCAGACATTTGGTTTATAAACACAACTTGCGTCAGGAAAAGGTATGCTTCTTCCCATTAAGTCCAATTCGATCCAGCAAAAAAGAAATGTGCTTCTAAATGTTTTTACGGACAACCTGCAGCAACCTGCGCCCGTCTGCTAGTAGAATATAAGGAAAAACACCGTAAAACACTTATGGATATTAATACGCGCCAGTGGCTGAACTTGTTGTGGCATCATATACATACTGAACTGAGTAACTGTTAAATCCCACATCCCTATAGTTCTGCTACCATTAATTAATGGTCAATTTTAACAACCTGAGGAAGAAGGGAGGGGGGGGGCACAAAACGCAGGGGTACATTTAAACCAATTAACCAAAATTACATTAAATGTCCTTATATGTTACGAAAATGTTATCTGATATATTAATTCATATTACGTATTTAGGCGCAGTATTTATACAACGTTAACTTCACCCGGCAACTACAACCATTAGCACTATATACTACTCGCTTTTCCAATGAGAGGTAATTGCATTAAATAAAATACTATTAGAGTACGACTAATTTTAAAGCCCTTTTATATGTGCGGGTTGTGTGTGTGCTTTCGCATATGCTATCGGCCTTGGAGCATTTTGTCTATTGCTCCATCTGTCCCCTACCACCGCGTGGCTATGTTTTACATTCGTTCGGGGTAAATTAACCTACCCGTACAACTTCGGTCTAAATTGTACTATAGTCACAGTTTTTGTCCACATTAGAAACACCGAACCTACCTGCTAAACAAGTCAATGTTGAAGAAGACATATTCTCCATTGATGAAATTCAGCTCCTCTGCCTTCAGCATGATCTCACGGACAGAGGCGGGAGAAGCGCACAGTACCACGACTGGAACAAACAATACATATTAACTTATATGTGACAGCGAGTGAGAAATGAGTTACTGCATTGCGAAATCCACAAAAGATATTCGTCAAATTTTATTAAATTGTGATGAAATTAATAAAACTTTATTGAAATTGATACACATGTAAGTATTTGCCATTCTGTGAATTTCACATCGTTTAATTTGATGCTAATCATAAGTAATCAAAATGCAAAAAGTTTACATATGTATAAATGCATCAATAGAATACAATGGTGGCTTACAACGAACAAGATGAAATCACTTTAAAACATAATGAGAATCTTAGTACACATGAAAAAATTTCGTTAACTATGGCGTCACTTATTAATTCCAAGATAGATCTTCAGACGACGTGCGTAGGGTTATCATACTCTGATCATAAGATACAGTTTATTAAAAAAGCGTTGCCTGATTGCATGGTTTTGTTCAAACCAAAATTGGTTGGAGTCTGACAACACATTTAAATCTAAAACCGCATAGCGTAGTGGTAAAACTCTCATGGAATGAACGCGCATAATTAAACGCACCGNGGGGGGGGGGGGAGGGGGGGGGGGGCAGGGAGCCTGTGTCCAATACATGTATAAATGTGCAGAGCACGTCTCTATAACTTCAGTTTGCTTGGTCAATTCTCAAAAGTTAAGATAAGTAATGACTGATGATGTACAAAGACAAAGCATTGCTGAGCTGCTTCGCTTGTCTCTAGAGTTCATATTATTTTAGATTGATATTTTACTCCCAGTGAGGGTCCGTTAATTGCTTTACTACGGACAGCTGATCGAAGAGCCGGACCTAAAAAATGTCACAATATTCTCTCCGAATCTCTCAATCATATACCATTATAGGGTAAATGTACAGTAACAAGAAACGCGTTTATTCGTAGGTCGATTTTTGTCTGTAGTTTAACACAGCTAGCTGTAAGACAATCAGATGAAAGACAATAATCATAACAATATATCTCCTATACCTCATTTCTACTTTCATGCAGACAAAATCGACTTTAAATGATAGGGCCCTAGAACAAAGCGTGTTAATCTAGCTCTCCTCGATATAAGAAATCTCGAGTTTATTGTTTTTGCCTTCTTAAGCTAACAAATAAGCGGAAATAGCCAATCGAGATGAATTCTTAACCGATTGTATAATCAATCGAGTAGATTTATTGAATGAAATTCGACTGCCGTAAATGCGTCGTTTTTGTATATCTAAGGCAGACATTTGGTTTATAAACACAACTTGCGTCAGGAAAAGGTATGCTTCTTCCCATTAAGTCCAATTTGATCCAGCAAAAAAGAAATGTGCTTCTAAATGTTTTAACGGACAACCTGCAGCAACCTGCGCCCGTCTGCTAGTAGAATATAAGGAAAAACACCGTAAAACACTTATGGATATTAATACGCGCCAGTGGCTGAACTTGTTGTGGCATCATTTATACTGAACTGAGTAACTGTTAAATCCCACATCCCTATAGTTCTGCTACCATTAATTAATGGTCGATTTTAACAACATGAGGAAGAATGGAGGGGGGGGGGGCACAAAACGTAGGGGTACATTTTAACCATTACATTAAATGTCCTTATAGGCCTATGTTACGAAAATGTTATCTGATATATTAATTCATATTACGTATTTAGGCGCAGTATTTATACAACGTTAACTTCACCGGCAACTACAACCAATAGCACTATATACTACTCGCTTTTCCAATGAGAGGTAATTGAATTAAATAAAATACAATTAGAGTACGACTAATTGTAAAGCCCTTTTATATATGCGGGTTGTGTGTGTGCTTGCGCATATGCTATCGGCCGTGGAGCGTTTTGTCTATTGCTCCATCTGTCCCCTACCACCGCGTGGCTATGTTTTACATTCGTTCGGGGTAAATTAACCTACCCGTACAACTTCGGTCTAAATTGTACTATAGTCACAGTTTTTGTCCACATTAGAAACACCGAACCTACCTGCTAAACAAGTCAATGTTGAAGAAGACATATTCTCCATTGATGAAATTCAGCTCTTCTGCCTTCAGCATGATCTCACGGACAGAGGCGGGAGAAGCGCACAGTACCACGACTGGAACAAACAATTACATATTTACTTATATGTGACAGCGAGTGAGAAATGAGTTACTGCATTGCGAAATCCACAGAAGATATTCGTCAAATTTTATTAAATTGTGATGAAATTAATAAAACTTTATTGAAATTGATACACATGTAAGTATTTGCCATTCTGTGAATTTCACATCGTTTAATTTGATGCTAATCATAAGTAATCGAAATGCAAAAAGTTTACATATGTATAAATGCATCAATAGAATACAATGGTGGCTTACAACGAACAAGATGAAATCACTTTAAAACATCATGAGAATCTTAGTACACATGAAAAAATTTCGTTAACTATGGCGTCTCTTATTAATTCCAAGATAGATCTTCAGACGACGTGCGTAGGGTTATCATACTCTGATCATAAGATGCAGTTTATTAAAAAAGCGTTGCCTGATTGCATGGTTTTGTTCAAACCAAAATTGGTTGGAGTCTGACAACACATTTAAATCTAAAACCGCATAGCGTAGTGGTAAACCTCTCATGGAATGAACGCGCATAAACAAACGCACCGAATCCTCTATTATCATACACTGGTATTTTGTTCGCAAATCATTTTCAAGGTGAATAACTGGCATCAACCACTATTTCGCAAATGCTAAGTCGACCTGACACATACAGATTGAAAAGTTCGTGACATATTGAGCGTGTCAGTACAATCCAAGAAATGATTTAACTTTCCTGCCAATCATTTTTTCTGAAAGGTAGTTCGGTACCGTTCCTACATGTATAGTGTAGCCATCAGTTCAACAGAAAGTCTGGTGATAGTATTCGATGCAGTATGCTTCAACTATTGATTTAATTTAAAACCTCAAACAGGGAATAGAGGTTTTGATTAAGTTAATCATGGCAGTGCTGTCATTATTCTTATCAGAATTGTTAAAATGGTTATTCTAGACGTTGCCTTGGCATTTATCTAACCTAAACAANAGAGAGTATATATATATATATTAATACGGTGTGGTCACAACCCATTTCTTCACCAGTTTACCTGGAGAAACAAAGTAACTTCATCTAGCTAAATCATAGTATGTATCTGCACAGAAACAATACGAAAGCACGTTGCCTGATTAAAAAATCAACTTTACAAGTCCTGTACATTGTACCTAGCTGTATCCCCCTTCAGTTTATAGGTATCATGCAGCTGAATAGCTATTACCGAGAAGCCTATCCCTATACAACTCCCTAAACGAATCCCTCTTGGTTTAATTTGTAATAATCATTACAGATACTGTAGATTGAAGGAAACACAATGGAAAGAAGTATGGTTTATATTCAAGATGCTTCAAGAACACATATGCAATGTTAAACAACTGGAAGAGATTTAGTACAAACAAACCTAGAACTGTGTGTAAATGTCCGCGACAGTCAGACAGACGAACTGGCAGACAGACAGACAGACACAGAGAAACAGGCAACCGTATTCCTGGATATCCCCTTAACCTAATTATGTCTTATTTTTCTAGTGGCAAAGATTGCTATTAAACTCTCTCTCTCTCTCTTTCTCTCTCTCTCTCTCTCTCTCTCTCTCTCTGAGTGTGTGTGTGTGTGCGTGTGTGTGTGTGCGCGCGCGCGCGCGGTATAGTAAGCATGACTGGCGTTAATTGAGAAAGATAATTATTTTTGTGCTACAATTTGGTCTTGTAATCACTCCTAATAAACATGGTGGCAATTGATTGTGGTGAGGACCCGAGATTCTATTTGAATGCTTGATCTGCTATTAATCCTTGTAATCGTTTAACCAAAGCACGGTGGCAGATGTGAATGAGGAGTTCAGCGCACGCGAGCAGACCCATTTGACGAGTTCATCGCAGACAGATTTCATATTAAGACCAAGGAAATGAGGGCTGTCCAAACAACATATAGTTAATACGCCTGTCACTCCTGTACTGATGCACTGTGTTGTTCATTACGTTCATGTTAACAGCAAGTTACAAAGATATCACACGTGTTGTCAAAAATGCACTATATTTGTGTGTGCGTGTGTGTGGCTTTCTTCATTGTATCACCATGAAAAGATATTGGCAAAATTGTACTCATTCAACTGCTTTGAAATTACTATTAAGAGAGACAAACGTGGAACAAATAATACTAGACTGTATCAATGATGGGACAACTTCAAATAAAGCTAATAAGCAATCGTTAAAATAAGGGTCTCAAAAACAAAATAGACTCCAGCCTGGACAGATCGGCAGTTATATCAGTGAAACCGCTGTTAGTTTATTCTACACGTTAGATTAATTCCCGCCGGAAAGACGTTTCTTTGGGTTAAACTTGCATTAAAAAGTACGATAACCTCGGCTGCGATGCTTGACGCACCTCATTTCGTATCATTAAGCAGTTGCTGTGCTTAACCTATATTCCTAGTGTATAAAATTTCGAATTCTGGAGGTTCAAATGTATATGATGTTGCGGATGATAGGATTTGTCGCACTGATTATTCATCAATTTCCTAAATGTTTTTATGCAAGTTCCTGTGACCCCCCTCCCCCAAACAAAATCAAAGATCTCAGATGGAAGGTGACGAGTTGCATTACGATTTTATCTCTTCTCAGCACTTTTCTTAAAAACAGAACTACAAGCTGCAACAAGCAGAACTTTCCAGCATCAAAATCACTGGGTATGTTTTCTATATTTTCAACTAATGAGAAAATAGCATGTTTGCTCTAATAAACCAAAAGCTTCAAATAACTGGAAACTGTACATGAAGGAACCTTTCGTTAAAACGTTCCGTAATAAGCTGTCACATAAAAAAATAAAAAAATGAAACCACAAAACTACGCATGCGCAATGCAGTACGAATTCCCCTCTTTTCGTTCACAAAAGCATCATTTGTCAAATATTCATATCGGTGTCAGTTTAATCCTTCCACTATGGCTACAGCCGTTTTTCAAAATCAAGACGGTATCTACTTAGGGTAGGGGTAGGGTGGAGTAGAGAGGGTGGATGTGGTGGTGGGTTTATGTGTGGGTGAGTCTGGGTGAGTGGTTGCAAGGGTGTGTGTGTGTGTGTGTGTGTGTGTGTGTGTGTGTGGTGGGGGTATNTGCGCGTTGCGTTAAGGATCGTCGGAGACTGGCACTTTTCGAATAGAATGTCCGCTTGTAGTCAAGGCAACTGTGGCTTTGCAGCAAGAGTTTTCCATCAAATACCATAACATTTTTTTTTCTGATCAACAGTCATACGAGTTAGAAAATGAGAGTATATATATATATATATTAATACGGTGTGGTCACAACCCATTTCTTCACCAGTTTACCTGGAGAAACAAAGTAACTTCATCTAGCTAAATCATAGTATGTATCTGCACATAAACAATACGAAAGCACGTTGCCTGATTAAAAAATCAACTTTACAAGTCCTGTACATTGTACCTAGCTGTATCCCCCTTCAGTTTATAGGTATCATGCAGCTGAATAGCTATTACCGAGAAGCCTATCCCTATACAACTCCCTATACGAATCCCTCTTGGTTTAATTTGTAATAATCATTACAGATACTGTAGGTTGAGGGAAACACAATGGAAAGAAGTATGGTTTATATTCAAGATGCTTCAAGAACACATATGCAATGTTAAACAACTGGAAGAGATTTAGTACAAACAAACCTAGAACTGTGTGTAAATGTCCGCGACAGTCAGACAGACAAACTGGCAGACGGACAGACAGACAGACAGACACAGAGACACAGGCAACCGTATTCCTGGATATCCCCTTAACCTAATTATGTCTTATTTTTCTAGTGGCAAAGATTGCTATTAAATTCTCTCTCTCTCTCTCTCTCTCTCTCTCTCTCTGTGTGTGTGTGTGTGTGTGTGTGTGTGCGTGCGCGCGCGCGGTATAGTAAGCATGACAGGCGTTAATTGAGAAAGATAATTATTTTTGTGCTACAATTTGGTCTTGTAATCACTCCTAATAAACATGGTGGCAATTGATTGTGGTGAGGACCCGAGATTCTATTTGAATGCTTGATCTGCTATTAATCCTTGTAATCGTTTAACCAAAGCACGGTGGCAGATGTGAATGAGGAGTTCAGCGCACTCGAGCAGACCCATTTGACGAGTTCATCGCAGACAGATTCCATATTAAGACTAAGGAAATGAGCGCTGTCCAAACAACATATAGTTAATACGCCTGTCACTCCTGTACTGATGCACTGTGTTGTTCATTACATGTTCATGTTAACAGCAAGTTACAAAGATATCACACGTGTTGTCAAAAATGCACTTTTTTTTGTGTGCGTGTGTGTGGCTTTCTTCATTGTATCACCATGAAAAGATATTGGCAAAATTGTACTCATTCAACTGCTTCGAAATTACAATTAAGAGAGACAATCGTGGAACAAATAATAGTAGACTGTATCAATGATGGGACAACTTCAAATAAAGCTAATAAGCAATCGTTAAAATAGGGGTCTCAAAACAAAATAGACTCCAGCCTGGACAGATCGGCAATTATATTAGTGCAACCGCTGTTAGTTTATTCCACACGTTAGATTAATTCTCGCCGGAAAGACGTTTCTTTGGGTTAAATTTGCATTAAACAGTAAGATAACCTCGGCCGTGATGCTTGGCGTACCTCATTTCGAGTCATTAAGCAGTTGTTGTGCTTAACCTATATTCCTTGTGTATAAAATTTCGAATTCTGGAGGTTCAAATGTATATGATGTTGCGGATGATAGGATTTGTCGCACTGATTATTCATCAATTTCCTAAATGTTTTTATGCAAGTTCCTGTGATCCCCCTCCCCCAAACTAAATCAAAGTTCTCAGATGGAAGGTGTCGAGTTGCATTACGATTTTATCTCTTCTCAGCACTTTTCTTAAAAACAGAACTACAAGCTGCAACAAGCAGAACTTTCCAGCATCAAAATCACTGGGTGTGTTTTCTATATTTTCAACTGATGAGAAAATAGCATGTTTGCTCTAATAAACCAAAAGCTTCAAATAACTGGAAACTGTACATGAAG